CTACTACTACTACTACTACTACTACTAGTACTACTACTACCACTATTATTATTACTACTACTACTACTACTACTACTGCTAATACTACTACTAGTACTAGTACTACTAGTACTACTACTACTACTACTACTACTACTACTACTACTAGTACTACTGGTACTACTGGTACTACTGGTACTACTGGTACTACCAGTACTACTAGTACTACACTACTAGTACTACTAGTACTGCTACTGCTACTACTACCGCTACAACTACACTGCCACTACGACCACTACTACTACAGTGCAATCACTGTACAAGAACCAGAAACGATTGGATAAGAAATGTAGGGGCTATGTCAGCCGGGTAGCACCAAAAAGCCGAAATCTTAAACTGCCTTCTAGCTAAGAAATGAAGGGTACCCAACGTTTTGGGATCATTTCTTGTTTCAGTGGTTTTCCAGTGGTCCTAGAACATGGAGCAGAGGCCAGAATAAGACATGTAGGGGGCTACGTTTCTTATTTTGGCTGGTTTCGAAGCCCTAAGCATAGGGCACAGGGCAGCGCGGCTCACGACAGAGCCGGACCCTGTTCTGGCAGTTGCATCTAGACACTACAGACTCAAGTCTACTGTTATACTGTCTTGGCGGTGTCTGTCTGGCCTAATTAATGGTTCAGGCGTTTAGCTCAGTTGATGGACTTCCATGGGCTCGATCCCCGGCTAAGAAATGGTTAAGAAATGAGGGGACCCAACGACCCGGAAGCTGAGAAATGCGGTAATGTGAACCTGAAAGGAAGCTAAGAAATGAAGGGTACCCAACGCTGGAAGCTGGCATTTCTTATCCAGCAGATGCACTGTACCACCTTACTACTATGCTACTACCACTACCACTACCACCACTACCACTACCACTACCACTACCACTACCACTAATCCTGTTGCTTTTGCTTGCTCCTACTGCTCGCATTGCTACTGCTACTGTAGCTGTGCTACTCACTACTCGAAAGTTCCTACTCGTCATGAATCACCATCGCCTTTGGCGGCCCTTCTGGAGCGACGCAGGGTAGGACTCTCTGCTTTCCAAGGCCGAGGCCTGCTGTTTCCATCAAGAAGTCGACGCCAGTGCCTCGAGCGGTACTTCTGGACCGCTGTGTCGTCAACCGAAGGTTATCAAAAGCTCATCCGAATCAGTGATGGCACGAGTCACGTTCATGTAAAGACGCTGGGGCCACGGTCGCACGTTCAAACCCTAGATCAGCCATTTCCCACTCGGCAACATGACCCAGAGCTACGAATTAGGGGAGTTGTGGGAAAAAACACACGGTAAGCAAACACTGTCGCAGAGCCTTGTTGGTTAGGTGGGGAGGGTTGGCTATGATTTGCTGCAGTGAGACTTACTGAACCACTACATGAGGCCGCATGCAACATTTCCCCATGGTACTCTTCCACGTGCAGTCGCTGAAAGCATGCGTTTGAATGTTGACACATGCAGCGGGCGGGCTTGGTTTCTACTGCCGGGGCCGTCAACGATCTGCAGATCGGTAGGAACTACAGAACAGCTTCTTCACTGACTCTGCAGGTAAGCTGCTCTCCATTCCCGTCTCTCCAAGCTGAGCTCATGACTCGCGGTCATCTCCCATAGGAGGAACTTGGGAACTAAGACAAGCATGACCTGAGACTATTGATACATGCACTTTGAGTTTTCATGGAAACCAAGCCCAAATAAGAGTAAGATCCTGATGCCCTATGTTTCCTGTTGTGCATGCGCTGTCCTCCAACCCGAAACCCAATTCCAGGGTTATCCTGCTGCAGTGCATCACAAAAACTTCTGTGGCCTGGCGGAAGCAGATGGAAAGCAATGGCATTGCTCTGTCTGCAATGATTAATGTCTCTCAGTGTGTCTATCTGTGTATCTGTCGGTCTGTCTGTCTGTCTGTCTGTCTGTCTGTCTATCTACCATCCTAGCTATCTTTCCAATCGAATCAAATCTAATCTAATCCAATCAATCAAGCAATCTATCTGTCCATCGGTCCATGTGTCTATCCATCTACCTGTGCAGGTATACAAGTATATATATATATACACACATAAACATACATATCTGTATCTACATTATATGAATTTTATGTATATGCGTGTGCATGCATGCATGCATGCATGCATGCATGCATGCATGCATGCATGCATGCATGCATGCATGCATGTATGTGTGCTACTACTTGTGCATTTGTATTCACATCTCTGTGTGTGTCCAAGACTGCCTACCTCGTTTAAGGCTATGTTCGGCAGGTCTGTCTCAACCAACCTGTTGGGAGCTGAGACGACTGCATTGACGATCTTCCACAACCTGGCTCAGGCACATTCCAAGTCGTATGGCCATGCCCGTGCAACCGGAGAATTCTCATTCTAGGTCCTAGGTGAAAACCTCCCTTCAGTGACCAGCAACACCGATTATTGGCCATGTAGTGCAGGAGCGAATGACCGAGGCGTGTGGAGCAAAGCTGAAAGCAAAGGTCACTCTGCAGCGGGTGGCACTGCCGCTTGATACATGACCAAAGCTTGAACTTTGAGCAAATTGGATCCAACAAAGCCCAGATTTGTTGACAGAAGTTGCGTGCCCGTTAAAAGCCAGCAAACTCCCAAAAAACGCGTATGTCGAGTTTGCAAGGTCGCTGTGCCACACGAGGCGCAAGTGAACGACGTGCTTCGGGTGTATCACTACTCCAGAAACCGAAAACCATGGTTCAGGAAGTCGAGCGGTGTATGCGAGCTCCACCAACAAGATTATTCAAAAGTTTAGAATCGGCTACAGCCGTCTTCAAAAGTTCACGAAGTGGTGCTGTTGGTTGGAACCTGTTAACCCTGTGCTTTGTGAGTCGAGTCCTTCTCCTGCCTTCCTGTGCGTGATGCAAATGTTTCGACCGCTCCTTCTCGAGAAACAACGCTGGCCCTGAGTCGAGGAAGCGCCCGCAGCATTCACGGGCCTCGACATTCCAGCCACCTGCACGGTGACCTGGCAAAACGTGGCACCCAACCATGCAAAACGGCTCAACGTAACTTGTGATCATCAAGTTAGCGCACTGGTGTGTTGTTGTTTGAGGCGGAGACACCGGAAAGCAGTCTCTGCTTTTGTGTGTGTGTGTGTGTGCGTGTGTGCAACTGCAAATCTGACCACTGCATACCACAGAAGAACTAACGAGATCTATCGGCTCACAGCTTACACCATGAGATACAATCCGAATATCCGAACATAAACCTTATATACAGCCCCAAAACCCTCCGCCGGTGAGCATGTCGAAAGCCCCAAATTACGGCCTTTAACCCTACAGAACCCTACGGCACTTAAACCTCCACATGGCTTCTAAATCAAACGTTTGGGACAGTTTGCAAGTCGTCAGCTACAGTCCAAAAGGCCCTTAACTCTAAACGCCAACATGGTAGCCTTACTTTTCGAAACATTTTTTGGGATGAGTAGTACTACTGTGATTCTGCTGGGGCTACAAACAGATTCAAGTAGTATTCCGACCTCTATATTGGACTCCACGCCCTAAGCCCCAACCCGGAGAGCCTGCCCAAGCCACTTCTCCATACTCTCCTGCGCTTCGTCTTCCTGGCCCAACAGGGTTTTAGGCTTTAGGGCTTTTAAGCTTAGGATTTAGGTGGGTTTGGGGGTATTTCAGTAGTTCAATTAAGCAAAGTCACAACTACATCGAAATATCAAGCTTGTGTGTCGCACGGGTGGGGTTTTGCACGATGGTCCGTGAGCTTTTTTAGAAGCAGTGCCCCGGGGATGTAAGGATTAGGCTCCTAGGAACATAAGCGAAGTCTCGTGGATAACCTGTGGCACATGAGCAGAAAATTACGTTTGTGTATGTCGGGCTGCAAGCACACAACTTCCCAAATCAGTTCAGATGTCCAGTGATGGAATTTGCGAAGATCTGAGTCACCAGTCGTTTAGTTCGCAACCTTATAGAGGTCCTTCACAAAAGTAATTCGCAACAGTAGCTGCTATCATTGCGTTACACGGTTCTAGACTCTAGACCCACACTGTCTGTCTGTCTCTCTCTCTCTCTCTCCCACGCAGTCGAACAGTCAAGCCTGATTCAAGGGCTGCACTTGCGGACTAGGACCTAAGCCCAAAATCCTGCAACGGCAACCCCATTCCGTGCGCTGTCTGAGCCTAAGCCTAAGCCCTACAACACCAGTAACAGTAAGTATATCACCACTCCTGGGCCAAATTCGACTTCCCTTCCCCACCTCCTCCTCGCCCAGCTCATACCAAGGCTCGTCAGTAGACGGCACGTAATACCTCCGGGGACGTCGACGTGATGTCCAAGATTCTGCGCACATGGGTCAGCAAGGATGAAAACCAATGTCAATCGGCCACACTTCCCAACCAAGGTGCATTTCAGGGTGGAGGGTTGGGATTTCGACTCTCACACTCGCACAAGGCCGGCAAGGCTCCGCATAGGGTTGGGATTTAGGGGTTTCGCGGTTCTGGGTATCCTTCCAAAAAGAAGCAAGTCACAGAAGTCTGGCCATCTGCATGATGTTGTGCGCCTCCTGACGGACGTATTGGCTTGACAACTCAGTGCTTCGCATCAGGATCACGAGCATACCCTGAAACCAAGATTGTTCTACACTTCTCTGACTGGCCCCGTGTTGTATCAGGTTTGGACGAACCATTGCTCGGTATAGAACTACGGAATGACTTTCTCGTGCTCTGAAGCATGCCCTTCTGAGGGCTGATCCCGGGATCTCTTTAACTTTGGATGCCAAACTCCCTCTAAAGCCTTCACCTTACGGAAACCCAGCTAAGATCCCTACTATGCGAAACCCTTTTTGCATCAGGACTTGTGCAATCGCCTGAATGTCTGAGCCTGCAGAAGTTCAGCTCTCCGAAACCCTAAACCCCCAAACAATAAATGGCAGCACTGTGGAAAAGGCCATCCTGTCCGATGCTGATGACCTTGGCCAGTCTTGGGCCAGTCTCAACAACCCCAAACCCTAAACATCAAGGTCACAGCTTTCGTGTTCTCTCTGTGGTAAACCTGCCCAAGGAACAACAAACTGAGATGGTTGAGGGCAGCGGGCGAAGGTTGACAGTCCTATCTGCTGATGGTGACCAAATTTCAATTGAAATTCCAGAGCCTCTCCATGGCGAAGCAGGCCCTGCACATAAATAAGGTCCCGGCAAACACCAAACAACATAGAAGCCGGCAGTTGTAGCTCTCAACACCATACTCGCCAGGGTCGACACTGCTCCTGCAAGCAGGCATCCACCCAGATTGGGCTGCTTTTACGGGAAAACACGGTTCAGAGTGATAGCGAACCATCAGTATCTACAAAATATCTATGTACATAGATACCTACAGCCTGTGTGTTTTAAGGGAGACCAGGAGCAGAGAAAAATCGATCGCACCTCGAAAGTCTCCATGCTACACCTCTCGCAAAGCCGGGACTCCAAAGCCCCTACCAAATGCTAACGGCCGTCTTTTGCTCGCATTGTCGGGCCCAGGGTGAAGTTTCGAAAGCCCAAGCCCTAAAGAAGTCAGAAACGAAACGCCCTAGAGTCTAGAGCCCAAACCCTCGACAGGTGCGCATCACTAAACCCCGGAACCCGTCCTGATGTCGTCTGCCTTGTCCGGGAAGAGGGCCTTTAGGGAAGCTGCCACGAAGCTGCGTGTTTGCCAGGCACCTGGGGCTACAATGCAAATTCAAGACCCTATCCAGTATAGAAGTTTTGTGGGACGGACTTAGGGCTCAAACCCCTATACCCTCAACTCGTCAACGCTGCTCCTACAACCCAACCCTAGACTCCAAAACCGCAATTCGTCAGCAACCCGATAATATTATAAACCGCTAGTTGTAGACTCTACACATCCGATATAACCCTATACGCTGACAACCATCATGAACCATAAGCCCCCAAAAGCCTCAGTAAACCCCATAAACAAGCCCTCTACATCCGCAAGTTCTGTTCGAGGAGCTCCAGCCGTAGAGCCGGGGTGCCGTGACGCTGCCACCAGCCGGCCCAGTGCAGCCTCCATGGGCCGACCAGTCTCCATTGTCGTTCCTTTTTGGGCCTTACCTGAGAGGAGCCTAAATATGTATCGAATTCGGCTAAAACCAACAAAGGAACTACAAAGGAGACTATGGGAAGGGTTCCTAAGGGCACAAGGGCTTTGAGGGTTTCAGGTCTGTGAGGGTTAAGGAACCCACGCTTCAGATATGTATAGGGTGTTTGGAGGTAAGGGTTTAAGGCCCTGTATAGGTTGAGTCTTCAAGGCTGGGGGTTGCCCCTGAACCCTGAGGCCTAGTGAAATGATAGAAACGGTCCGGTGAAGTTCAGTTAGGGTCGTTGATCAGGGTTTTTCAATGCCCGGATGCCGGAGCTAATATCCTCAAAACCCAACCCAAGATCCTAGGTCCGAAGCTCAAAATTCTCAACAGTTCGGATCCGAGCCTTCGGCGTTGGGGTCCGCGGTGCAAGCGTTAAGGTTTGCCCCGAAATCGCAGAGGTACATCTGCCCTGGCGAAAGCGAGGTGTCGTGTTCTAATGGCTTCAAGATCAGGGGATGCCAATGTCCAACTTTCTGGTTTCTATTGTAAGGCCAAGGCATGGGGCTCGGTTTCCATCGCGAGTTCCCAGTCACAACACTCGAAACACAAACTCACTAAGATTTCTAAGGAGCCTTGTGTGCGCCCTGAGACATTCCGTCTTTGTGCCGCTGTCTTTAGCTTCAAGGCATATTGAGTTAATATCACCACGGGTGTAAACTCCTAAGATTCAACCTATGCTGTGTTACGCCAACTCCACCTGAAACAAGTCAGACGCGTGACCATCCTCGGACGAATGATAGTGAAGTCCTAGCATATATCGTCGAGCCTATACACACTAAACCCAACACACCGTCCTGCAAAGAGGTCCATCACTGCCTGCTCCTTGCGAATATAGCAGAGCCTCATGTGGGTGCTGTTAAGTCTTGGGACAGAGGCTTTCTATTCTCCGAATCAGCACGGCACCACCGACTGGGCAATGACGGGCACTCAACCCTTTTGAATCTCCAACGCTCTGATGTGCCAGACTGTTCAATGGAGTCGTATTGGACACCCAACCCTTTAAACACTAAACCCTAAACCGGGTGTTCAACTGGAGACCCCTCTTGCTTCTGCCAAACGGTCCCAGTTGCAAAGCGCCATGAATGAGCATGCAAACGTAAAGGTAGAAGTAGCTCTGGAGGACCTTCAAGCATGGCAGAACAAGTCTTTGGGGGCTTAATGGTTTCTACGTTTGAGGGCTATAGCTTGAGAGAGAAACCCCTGGAGCAAAGCAGCAGCGTTCCAGTCGTGAAAATGCACCAGCAACGACACGATGTTGGCCTTCTTGGGTTTGCCTTAAGCGGCCCGTTTATAAAGTGTCCCCAAAGCCCCAAAACCCAAACACGAAAACAAAGGCGCTGAGGAATCCAAGATCCTGATGTAACCGAGGGACGGGTCTTGCCATTGACCGTGGCCATCCCGCCGTCCGGGCTACCTGCAAAACCGGCTTAGGGTTTCCTGCCGGTTTCAGCTCTCACAACTCGTCCGAGTTGCGAGGGCTTCAGGGTCTTAGGGCTGTTGGTTGTTGGTTTTCGGCTTTAGGAAGTGCTGGCGTTGGGTGCAGGTTTCGGCGCACCTGAACCCGGTGAGGTGAGGCAATTCGGATGCCCCTTAACGGAGCAGATAGGGTCGAAATCGAAGAGCCCAAGAGACTGCATTCATGTGCCCTTTGTTTTACCCTGGAGCGTCAGGTATCCAAGAATGCCTGGTCCTAAGATGCGTGCGCAGTGTCCCATAAGGGACCCTGGCTTTTGCTCTTATTAGCTCGGTTTGAATATTACGATTCGCTTGCCTGTACAATGACTCACCCTTTTTGCAACAGGGCTCGTTGTCGAGCTCACCCTAAACCTTTTGCCCGAGCGAAAACAAGTCAAGGTCGTTTTCTCCGACCTGTGTCTACTGGCATAGTAAATAGGCAGACCTGGGCTTTTCCCTGAGGTCAAGGTCCTATCATTGTGGCTTTAGTTCCTGCTTGAGCGTATATTATACCAAAATAAAAAGTTTAAGACTGACGTGGAGGCAAAGCGCTATAAGAAGTCTTGCAGTTTAAGCCATGAACATGGAGTGCGCCTGTGGCATCAGAATAGCCGCACCGTACCTCCGCCCGCATGCTTCTTGTACAGGGTCTAGGGTTCTGGATTTTAGGCTTTATCGGGGTTTACACTCACAACTCGGACAATCCAGGCGAGGTCTCCGGCGTAGTCGGGGTGAAAAACATTGTATCCGAGTCAGATTGCAAGCGTTAAGGGTCGTTCTTGTGAAGGCGCACAGATTTGGGCCAAGCTGCACGCATGAAATCGTCATCTGCCAAACGCTAGAGACATGATATGGTTAATGAGTAAATGACCCCATGAGCTAGGGATTCCAGACTGGAAAAGATCTGAACATCAAAGGCTTGCTGTTTTGGGTTCAGGTTTTCGCGTGCAGGCACTGAGCCCAAGGTGGAAACACAGGTCTGGGGTGCAGGGCTCTCATACACTGCCAAGGAACAACTGATCAGACCTCAAAAGGCCTCAAAGGCTCGGTCGAGAAACCTGTGTAGCCGGATCTCCACCATCCGGACACCAAAATGCAACCGAGCTTCGACTCCTGCCCCGAACCTAAACCACCCCAGGCCTAAGCCCCGATCCTTGAAACCTCCCGTGAGGAGCATGTTTCGGATGCCTGAAGATAATAGCAGAATAGCAGTGCAACCGCAATGCTGCTAGCAGCAACAGATGCCACCGTAACAGCAATCATCATAATTTTGAATCCGAAGCCCTACGCCCCCAAAACCCTTAACCGAATTGACAGCAGCCGTCTCCCATAAGACCCCCCATTCATCCGCGAGGTCACACGGAGCTTGGCTCCTCGGGAGATTAAGGAGTTGAAATTATTGAGGTTTGGGGCTCGGCTTGTGGATTTTTTCACCGTTAATTGATTACTGGCGGCAGTGCTGCCACCTGTTTCTGCAAACGTCCGAAAGAAGAAACAGTAAGATCAGCACTTGCTTTTGCGCGTCGGTTCGAGAAGTTTTCGCTTCAGTCAGCATGCCTTGCCTGTTCGAATCCCGGCATTCTGCTTTCAACCCCGGGCTAAGCAAAGCAGCATTTGAAAAGAGTTTGCGAGGGTGTATTCAACTATAACGATAAGCGAAATCCAACGAAGTAGTGGTGCCAATCATGTAGGTTTCGATGCTACAGCTGGTTGGGGATAGAGTTTAGCCGCGTGTAGCTTCTTCAGTCTTCAACTGTAGCAAAATGCAATGGTCAAACGGCCTCCGCAAGCTTACAGGCTTACAGCAAAGGCCTGACTGAGAGCTACTGGACATGACACCTGAACGGTCGAAACGTTTCCTCAGCACCAATACACATCAGCAACATGTCCCACTTCGCCACAGAGAGCCGCGGAAGTCCACCAGTATGTCAAAGGATCATCCTTCAAAAGCAACCTTAGACCCTGTTGAACCCTTTACATAGAACCCCTTCTAAGTCCCTGTGAAAGCCGATCCCACAAAGGACCCCCAACTTCGTACCTCCAACAAAAAGCTCCGAGCGTCGACATTGACCCTGCCCATGTCCATGTAGACCAGAGCTCCAACCAGCTTGGCGCTGGCCATCTTCTGCCGATACCTGGGCAGCTTAGGGATGAAAGGCCCGTTCGAAAGGGCACTTTCTGACTTTCTGACCATGTTCTGAATCAAGGGTGATGTGTTCCAGTTCCAGCTGATGGTCGTTTTCAGTGGATGGTCGTCTGAACGGGGAACTCAAATTACTTTAGAACTACCAACCCCATGTCTTCACACGACATGCCAGGAAACAGGACGACCGCTGGCGTAAATTACTCAGGCAATCCGCCTGACAAATACAGCCTTAGCTGAGCGTCTCCACCAAAGAGATGCCCATTTCAGCGGACTTATCCATCCGGACAGTGTCCCGGTAGCCTCAGATACTCAATCAGGTGCAGATCAGGGTAAGTGCAGGAGCAACCGACGTGGAACACTGAAGCTTCATGCCTCAGGTTTGGGGCCTCTGCCACTTATATATAGCATGCAATTCAAGTGGAGCCGGTGCGATTCAGTTGAGATAACATCCACAACCAGCCTTCCGGAGTGCCGTAGACAGCAACTTCGTTCTACACACACCGCAGTGTACGTCGAGCATACCACATGCCTCTGGATTCTTGGATGCATACGCAGGCATGCAGACACCACAGACAGGCCAAGCTGCTGTTCTTTCCTCACGACATATGAGTCGGGAGTGGGTCACGCTAGTTATTCGATTAGTTACTCAGTGGACCAGCCCTGAACTCCATGCTGGGTACAATCTCAGCGGCGCATATTTGGCGCTTCAGCATCGCTGTTTGCGACGCTTCCAGCCTGAAAAGCGCACTTGCTGGCAGGCAGTGGCGGCAGCAGCATCAGAAACGTCACCAACACCCTCACCTCAAAGATCATCAGCGCTCTCCTAGTCGTAGTCGTGCAAACTGCACGTACATGTGGTGCTAGTAACGTCTCTGCTCACTGCCAGCCACAGGAATCAGAAGAACAACACAATCTAGCATCAGCATCATCATGATAACTGTCACCGTGATGGACTTTCCATCTGCCTGAGGACTACCATGGCCATCAAGTCACTGCTTGACTAATTCATCATAGTGTAACAGCCAGGAGCACCCGTACTTCCCGCAATAGTAGTATAGTAGTAGTAGTCGTCGTCGTCGTCGTCGTAGTAGTAGTAGTAGCAGTAGTAGTGGTGGTAGTAGTAGTGGTAGTACCAGAAGTAGTAGTAGTAGT